TACAATTTCTGGGGAAATTGTGTGAAGTGTTCTTGCCTTTACCAGTAGTCTACAACTGGAGTGGGCGTTGTAACTTGGTGGAGTGGCTGGAGTAACTGTTGTGTGGTTGGAGTGGCTGGAGTAACTGTGGAAAGGTTGGAGTGTGGTTCACTCACTCTACAGCAAGTGAGAAGCTTTGAAATCTTTCAAATCCCTCCAACATTCCACCAACTGCGAACAGGAACTAATAGATCTCAAATAGGGCAGAGAAGAGCGGTTAAAAACAAACTGCTCCAAATTGCTCACTTCACTGGCGGTTTCCATCTTCAAACGGTCGTATTTTAAAAACTATAAATCCTACAGCGAAGAGCTTTATATTGTGGGAATCACAAGACCCAGACCTACATTTTGATGCATAGTATGTCTCTGAAGTATTAAAATTGAAGGCACAGTCGCAGTTTAGAAACTGCACTTCAAATTTGAGCTTTGCAGAGTGAAGTTTCAATGAAAGTCAATGGATGGCGTTAGTTGCAAACAAATGATCATATTGTGAAAACTATCAGGACTATGGCTTAGCCGTTGACATGTTTAGTGGCAGGAGGTATAGCTGAACGTTTTGATATAAGATTTGTGTAGGTGGGCCTGAAAATAAGGGAGTGGTGGCAGTTTAGAAATCATGTCCTGATTTTTCAGCTTTTGCCAACTCCCACTCTAGCTTTGCCATTCATTCCTATGGGACAAATTTCGCCACAAGAACGACGATATTCCGTGAACTATTCGGCGAAACGTTCCACAAAGTAATAGCAATCCGATCGGGAACAATCTGCACGTTTTGGTAAATTTTTGTCTATGTAGTGTAAAAACTGTGGGAGGAGTTAGGGTGGCAAATTTTGCTATAATAAGAATAATAATAATAACTAGAAAAGCTACAATTTCAGGGGAAATTGTGTGAAGTGTTCTTGCCTCCACCTGTAGTCTACAACTGGAGTGGGCGGAGTAACTGTTATCATTTACATAGCACATTTAATTGCAACGTTGTTGCACAGTTACATTAAACCATACATTTATAAAAACATTAGCAGGTGTTCAAAAGGCCCTGTCTATGACATCACTTGCTGCTGCAGCTTGACACAGGTCAGAATATTTTGGTGGTTGCAATCTTCAAACGGTCGTATCTTTAAAACTATAACTCCTACAGTGAAGAGCTTTATATTGTGAGAATCACAAGACCCAGACCTACGTTTTGATGCATAGTATGTCTCTGAAGTATTAAAATTGAAGGCACAGTCACAGTTTAGAAATTGCACTTCAAATTTGAGCTTTGCAGAGTGAAGTTTCAATGAATGTCAATGGAAGGCGTGAGTTGCAAACAAATGGTCATATTGTGGAATCTATCAGGACTATGGCTTAGCCGTGGACATTTCTAGTGGCAGCAGGGATAGCTGAACGTTTTGATATAAGATTTGTGTAGGTGGGCCTGAAAATGAGGGAGTGGTGGCAGTTTAGAAATCATGTCCTGATTTTTCAGCTTTTGGGACAAATTGCGCCAGAAGAACGACGATATTCCATGAACCATTCGGCGAAACGTTCCACAAAGTAATAGCAATCCGATCGGGAACAATCTGCACGTTTTGGTAAATTTTTGTCTATGTAGTGTAAAAACTGTGGGAGGAGTTAGGGTGGCAAATTTTGCTATAATAATAATAATAATATATATGAGATAACATTAAGTGGTCTTGCTATGCAAGAACACTTAATAATAATATATATGTGAGATAACATTAAGTGGTCTTGCTATGCAAGAACACAATAATATATATGTGAGATAACATTAAGTGGTCTTGCTATGCAAGAACACTTAATAATATATATGTGAGATAACATTAAGTGGTCTTGCTATGCAAGAACACTTAATAACTAGAAAAGCTACAATTTCTGGGGAAATTTTGTGGTGTTCTTGTCTCCACCAGTATTCTACAACTGGAGTGGGTGGAGTAACTTATTATTTATTTATATAGCACATTTAATTGCAACGTTTTTGCCCAAAGTGCTTCACAGTTACATTAAAACATACATTTATAAAAACATTAGCAGGTGTACAAAAGGCCCTGTCTATGACATCACTTGCTACTCCAGCCTGGCACAAGTCAGAGTATTTTGGCAGTTGTCATCTTCAAACGGTTATATTTAAAAAAAAAAAATGTTTTATACATTCTACAGCGAAGAGCTTTATATTGTGATAAGACCCAGACCTACATTTTGATGCATAGTGTGTCTCTGAAGTATTAAAAATGAAGGTACAGTCGCAGTTTAGAAATTGCCCTTCAAGTTTGAGCTGGCTAGAGTGGAGTTTCAATGAATGTCAAAGGACGACATGAGTTGCAAACAAATGGTCATATTGTGAAAACAATCAGGACTATGGCTTAGCCGTGGACATTTTTTGTGGCAGTAGGGATAGCTGAACGTTTTGATTTAAGATTTGTGTAGGTGGGCTTGAAAATGAGGGAGTGGTGGCAGTTTAGAAATCAGATCATGTTGTTGTCATTCGCTTGGCTAATATAGCTTTGTTGCTTCATCTAAGTGTTGCTTCTAAGTGTGTGGTTGGAGATATTCTAGAGAGTTTTACAGAAGCTTCAGCTGTCTAAGAGTTGTGCTAAGAGTTTTCTTTTCTACTGTTACAGGTAAGATTAATCTGTAGGAAAAGGTTACGGATTGCACAAGGTTTGATTTCCTGTTGGTAATTATAAGGCATTTGATTTGATTAGTTAGCTACTTGCTATTGATTGCTGTTTAAATTAGCTATTGTTTGCAAATAAGCAGAGGCCTACCCAGGTGTTAAACATTCCTAGTGGGTGGTGATTTTAGGAGTTTTATGAGGGTTGTTGTCATTAGCTTGGCTAATATAGCTTGGTTGCTTCATCTAAGTGTTGCTTCTAAGTGTGTGGTTGGAGATATTCTGGAGAGTTTTACAGAAGCTTCAACTGTTTAAGAGTTGTGCTAAGAGTTTTCTTTTCTACTATTACAGGTAAGATTCATCATCTGTAGGAAAAGGTTACTGATTGCACAAGGTTTGATTTCCTGTTGCTAATTATAAGGCATTTGATTTTATTAGTTAGCTACTTGCTATTGATTGCTGTTTAAATTAGCTATTGTTTGCAAATAGGCAGAGGCCTACCCAGGTGTTAAACATTCCTAGTGGGTGGTGATTTTAGGAGTTTTATGAGGGTTGTTGTCATTAGCTTGGCTAATATAGCTTGGTTGCTTCATCTAAGTGCTGCTTCTAAGTGTGTGGTTGGAGATATTCTGGAGAGTGCTGCTTCTAAGTGTGTGGTTGGAGATATTCTGGAGAGTGCTGCTTCTAAGTGTGTGGTTGGAGATATTCTGGAGAGTGTTGCTTCTAAGTGTGTGGTTGGAGATATTCTGGAGAGTGCTGCTTCTAAGTGTGTGGTTGGAGATATTCTGGAGAGTGCTGCTTCTAAGTGTGTGGTTGGAGATATTCTGGAGAGTGCTGCATCTAAGTGTGTGGTTGGAGATATTCTGGAGAGTGCTGCTTCTAAGTGTGTGGTTGGAGATATTCTGGAGAGTGCTGCTTCTAAGTGTGTGGTTGGAGATATTCTGGAGAGTGCTGCTTCTAAGTGTGTGGTTGGAGATATTCTGGAGATAAACTGGAGGTAATCTGAGGTATTCAGGAGGATAAATAAAAAGTTAAGATTCGTTTGATTTAAATTATTCACCTCATTGGAATGGCAGACTTAGTTCAGTGTAATAGTTGCTATGCATTTGATTCACGTTCCACTTTTTGGAGGTTTGGTTGTTGTCTAATCTGTAGACAGTTCTCTATCTTGCGGCAGGAGATTGTATTCTTGAAGTCTGAGATTTGTAAATTATCTGGTGAACAAACTCAGACTTGAACTGCTGCAAAGCCACTGCCGCAGAGACATACTAGGAATGGCAGATGGATTACTGTAGGATCTGGTAGACTTAGAATTGTGGATAAAAGGCATTTTGCACAGTTTGTTGCTCTTCATAATTCATTTTCTGCACTTTCAGAGTGTAATGGTGTTGTGGAGAGAGGCACTGAGGCTAGTGGTGTTGTGGAGACAGGCTCAGGCACTGAGGCTAGTGGTGTTGTGGAGACAGGCTTGGAGACTATGGTGAGGCCTAATAGAAAGCAGTTGTTGTTGGGGATTCCATCATAAGAGGTGTGGAGATGGACAATGGTGGTCTTGTGAGGTGTCTTCCTGGAGCTCCTGCTCATAGAGACAGGAGACATATCTGTAATATTGTTAAGCGAGCAAAGCAGGAAGGGGAATTGGATATACTTGTCCATTTGGGACAAATGACTTGGCTTGCAATGAGGTTTCAGAGGTTAAGAAAGTTTTTAGTGTTTTTGCCAATGATATACGGCAGGATGCTTCCACACTGTCATTCTCGGAAGTTTTGCCTGTGCATAACACTCAGGACGACAGGCAGATGCGTATTAGGGAATTTAATTTGTGGCTTGGTGAATGGTGTCGGGAGCAAGGATTTGGCTTTATTTCTCATGGTAGCTCTGTTTGGAATGGAAATAACCTGTACAAATAAGATGGTTTGCATCTTTCTCAAAAGGGAACAAATGTTCTCAGTGAGCAGTTCAGAGGTTTTGCTAGGATGTATTTAAACTGGGGGGTGGGGGGGGCAAAAGGGTGATAAAACATCAATCCAATTGTCCCCAAAACAAGGACAGAAGGTGCCTGTAGCAAGTGTGTTAAAAAATGATAAGCTTAGAGTCATGTCTACAAATGCTCGCAGTTTAGGGAATAAGATCCATGAACTTGTGGCAATAATGGCAACTAATAATGTAGATTTAGTCGCTGTTACTGAGACATGGTATAATGAGAAAAATGACTGGGACATAGCAATACCAGGGTACTCTTTATATAGAAAAGACAGGAAAGGCAAGAAAGGGGGAGGGGTGGCCCTGTATGTGAAGGATAGCATAAAATCTAGCCTAATAAAAGTTAGTGAGGCAAACATAGAGTCCGTTTGGGTTACGTTCGAATTTGGTAATCACACAGTAACTCGTTTAGGTGTGATTTATAGGCCCCAAGGACAAATTAAAGAGTTAGATAATCTACTAGTTGAGGAAATAGCTAAAATGACAATGATGGGGGAAGTTATCATCATGGGTGACTTTAATCTTCCTGATGTGAATTGGAAAACAAATAGCTGCTTGTGCCAGGAGCACACATATTCTAAACTCCCTACTGGGATTGTCTCTAAAACAAGTCGTTGAGGAGCCAACTTGTAAAGAGGCCATACTAGATATAGTGTTAACAAATGGAGATTTGGTATCAGATAT